ATAATTATACACATCCATCAAAAACAAATTACCAACCACGAAGAAATTTTAACCAATATACAAGATCTCGAAATTGGGATAACCCAATGGCCCAACCTAATTCAATAAATTTCCAAACAAATCCTCCACAGGATCACAGTGAAAATTACCCATTTTTTCAACAAAATAAAAATAAAAAACAGACATCTTATCAAATGGATTATTTATCCTCAGATGATGATTTCTTACAACCAGACATATTTGCACCATATACTCAAGAATATCGTAGACAAGGAATACAGAAAACACGTACAAATCATAGAAATTTTTCTCCACAACCGATAGATGCACAACATCAACAACCAATTCAACAACAAAATCTAATTAATACACAATCTTTTCAACCAATTCAACAACAAAATCCAATGACTGCACACTCGTATCAACCATCACAAATGCAAAATGAAATACCACTCCCATATTATCTCCAACAACATGAAATAACAAGAAACCAACTTTCAAATTTTTCTCAAATGCCAAATGCAGCAGAATCATTACAAATGACAATGAATCCATACCTTATGGGTGGATCATCAATAACATCAAACAAACCTTTAATGGTTTTCACAGGAACAGACCCTGAATACTCTGTAGAAGATTATTTAAATGCAGTAACAGCAAACCTGATTTTAAACATTGGACCTGAACCAATTAATACGCCACTACATCAAAACTGGATACATCGACGCACAGCGTTGATACAAACAACCTTAGATGGCGCAGCCCAAAAATGGTTTTCAGTACTACCTCTAGAAATAAAATCAAACTGGAAAAGGTTTACACAAGAATTTTCAAAAATGTTTGACTCTGAAAGAAACAAACAACAACAAAGAGTTTTATGTAATGAAATTCGCAGAATACCAAACGAAACCATCAAGCAATTAGCAGTACGAATCGAAACACTAGTTCGAAAAGCATATTCACTAAATACACACGACTATAAAAACACAAAGATGACAGAAATCTTAATGATGACCTTAACACCACAATTAAGGAAAATAGCAATAAAAAAGAGAGCATCCCATCCTTCTTCAATTCGAGAACCCGATTTAGATTTTCGAAAACTAGTAGACAAGTTAGAACAAGCAGAAATCACGATGAAACTAGAAGAAACGGAAAATCTGAAATTACAATACGTTAACAGAATTGAAACGACTCCCACTAATATTAATAATATACAGGAATCAGACACAGACCTCGTTGAAAAAATCACTGAAATACTCAATATTTACGAAAAGAACCCAAACTTTAAAGGCAAACCATCTTTCAAAAAATGGTGTAATTATTGCCGACGATACGGACATAGTATTTCCGAATGTAGACAAAAACAGCAACATAGTCAAAATAAACCTCAAAAATACAAAGAACCAAATAAGTCATTCTATCAATATATGAAGAAAGATCAAAATCTACCAAACAAAAATGTATACAGCAACAATAGTTCCGGAAAACAACTTCCGAACAATACAAGTTATACAAGAAATCAATCCCCATATAACTCAAGTTATAGAGGAAGATCACCAGAACGAAGAAACACGCAAAATTCATCACAAAATCACTACAATAGACCAAATAGTAGAAATAACTACTCCAGATCAAATTCAAATACACAAAGATTTGTTTCTAGATCTAATTCCCAATCAAGAAATAATTACTATCCAAACAACCAATCACGAAATTCATCATACAATAGGAATAGAAACTACTCCTATAATCGAAATAGAAGTTATTCAAACAACCGAAACCAGAATTACCCGAACAATCGATCAAGGAATAACTCATATAATAGATCGAACTATAACAGACCAAACAGCAATTATCAAAATAGATCGCGAAATAATTCACAAAATCGACACTCAAGTTATAATAATCGTTATAGAAATTATTCCCAATCACCACACCGGAATAATAATCACTATAATAACTCTACTAATCGTCACAGAAGTAGTACACCAAAACATCAAAGACAAATCAATCAAGTACAGTCTAATCCAGAAACAACATCAGACCCTCCAGGTATTGATGACACAGTAACTGATACGTTACAACTCAATCAAATAAACTGTACATCATCAGATTCAGAAAGCGATACAGAAAACACTCTTTCTATCAATATGATAAAAGTCGAAAATGACTATGAATCTGTAATTTATGAACAACCTTTTTCATCACACATATATGAAAATCAATCAGAATTTCTTCAAAATTATTACGCTACACCCATAAATTCCACACCAACGACGCAAGAAACGAATGAAATTAACACTACAAATCAAACCAATAAAAATATCAAAACAAAATGCTTGAATACGAACCACATCTATCAAAATATACAAAAAGAACAACCCAAAGAAAAAATTTGGACAATACCATTTCTCTTAGAAAGTCCAAGAACCAAAGAATTTCAACCACCAGATCTTGAAATCGATTTTTTAATTGATTCAGGAGCAGAATCAAACATAATAAACATTCCCACATGGAATGAAATAAAAACTTTACACCCAAAGCTAACACCTCTTGAAACCACCAGTAAGCTAGCAACAGCACAGGGATCAACATTGATCAACTACGGAAAAATCCAATTATTTCTCCTCCCCACCAGAACAATGGAGCAAAGCAAAATTTTAAATAAGCCATTTAAACAAATATTCCATATCACTGATATTAAATATAATATCATTAGAATACCATTTATTTCGAAGTATATACCAACAATTAACATACTAAATAGTAAAATATTAATCAAAGATAAATATACAAAAACAAAAGAAACATCTTTAACATTTTTTCAAAGATTAAATAAACAACCACCATTCTTTTCAAAATTCTACCCAATATTTAACCAACAAAGAAAACACTTGAAACCACTATCAGGAAACATCTATAATTTTTCAATCAAACAAGTTCACCAATATGATAAAGAACAAAACAAACAAAAATTTTATATGTCAGATTTTGAATTCAAACCTATTCATAAATTTTTCAAAATCACAATCTCTTCAATAAAATATTTGAAAAATTCGAATTCAGATATCATTTCCTTACATGTCTATAACAACACACCTTACCAAGTAACATTACCTTTAGGACTTTTAGGATATTGTGAAACCAACGCTACAATATCGCCAATACACGAAAAAGCCTATCGCGTAAATAATATACTTCAATTATTAGATATTTGTCAATCCACAATTCTTAATGAAGAATTATCTATAAATAATATAATAAGTAACGAAAACAGAAATACGGATTATTTCACAAAAACTCCATATTTCAAACCTACATTCAACATAAGTAACTACACAGAGGACCAACAGAAATTTTTAACAATGTTTAATTTCCAACATTCACAAATAACACAAGACGAATTCGAAAAGTTAGCCAAACAGCTAATTGAATATTCATCAGTCTATGCAACATCAAAATTCGATGTTGGCAAAATCAGTTCATCACTACATCTCCCGTTAAAACCAGACGCAGTTTTCAAAAAACAGAGAGCAAGTAAAGTACCAATTCACTTACATGATAAAGTAAACAGATTACTCGATATTTTAGAACAGTACAATATTATATCACCAGTTAATAAAGAAGAACAACCAAAAGGCAACACATTTATCAACCCCGTTATCATTCTAGCTAAAGGAGAATCATTAAAAATCGTTCTCGATGCTAGATACCTCAATTCACTCATAGATGAATCAAAATGTAATTGGCCCATTGAACCAATACAAGTTATTTTAACAAAAATAAACGTCAAATACTTTACAACCGCCGATATGAATAGTGCATACAATCAAATGCCACTAGATGAACAATCACGACGTTTA